AAAACTTTTATTTATAGATATTTTAAATTCAAATTTGGATAAAATTAGGTATTTAATCTAATAGGTAATAACAATTCCATTTATTTTGTTGTAAATAAAAAATATTATTCATGGTAGTTCCTTGAGACTTTTAAAGAATATTATCATATTTTATACATAAAAATCCAAAATTATATTTCAACTTTGTATGAACAAACCACTAAAATTCTTTTCAGGCCAAAATCAGTAGACGTGTTTGATTCTTAAAAAGTGTCTAATAAAGTAAGAACTGAATGAAGATCAAATGTCAGGAAAATAATTATTGTATATATGTTCAGCCTCCAAATGATCTAGGAATAAGTTTACTAGCTTCTCCTTTACATATAAGACCGTAAATATAAGTATAAATAACTATGAACATAAAAATTATTATTATCATAAACTTGACTAATAGTTTAAAAAATGTTAATTAACTGATAAATTTTGAAAATTAATAATTTGTTTATTAATTATTTTATAATAGTTAAATTAGTTTTATAAAAAAAATAAGTATTTATTAGCGTTTCAAATGAATAAAATTATGTTTAGCTTTGGCTGTTTAATGTAGTTTTACATCCCAGTTATAAACCTTAGCCATATTAACTTTGGTTTTAGTGAACTGATCCCTGATAATAATTACAAATAAGTAATAAAATAAAAATAAGCATAATTTATTTATATATATATTTAATTATTTGAATTAAGTATACCTTAGAAAATAGAAAGTTAAGATCATTATTAAGTATTAACTTGTCCCATATTATATTATCTGTGGCCAATTGTGTATTTCTTGAAATCCGTTCAGTGGCATCTTCAAGTTAAGGTACCTATACTTTAACATGACATTACCCTGTAATAAATAAATTATGCATATGTATTTAATCTATTAATTAAATTAAAAATTAAATCACTAAAAAAATAACCATTTCACCAATAAACTGGTTTTTACTAATTAATCTAGACATTAAGAACAAATATAAAAAAAAGGTGCTCTGCTGTAGAGTAGGTTACAAGTGGATCACTGTATACAGGATGGTATTAAATTTGAATTCAATGATATAATATCATTGTATAAGAAAAACGATTCTGAGCGGATACGATATGTCAGTCTAGGTATAAGACATATTATATCCTTATCTATCGTATTAAAAAAAAATGACCTATAATAGATACCTATAATAAATTCCAAATTAATCATATCACAATATTCATTAGGTACCTACTTATAACGCGTTATACACCAACATCAAACCCTGATACTGTCATAGATATATAGGTAGTAGTATACTTTAGAAGCTTCAAGTACCCACGAATAATATTATACAATCACAACAAAATAACTAAAATAGTTATTCTAGGTTTTTTATTATGTAATTTCGTCCAAATTTGCACTTAAAATGACTATAAAAATAAAATTTGAGTATGTACTTTTTAGATTTTTTGGTAACAGAATTAACTACTTACGTGAAATCTTGTTTTAAATTTTCAATAATTAGATATAAAAGTTGAACATTTTATAATTTATTAATTACAATTATTGATAATTTTCGATTAATTTTGATAAATTTTGTCAAAATTCGATGTTTAAATGCTTATAAAAAAAAATTGTGCCTATGTATTTTTAATATTTTTCAATTGCTATTGTAACAATATATCATTAGCCTTGTATTAAATGTTTACACTTTTTGGCCCAACAGATAAAACTTTATTGATATTTATAGAAAAAAAACCAAAAAAAAATTGAAAGTTGTAAATGTCCGTAAACAGCTCAAAAAAAGTCAAAATATTTTCAAAATTGTATGGCGTATAGGAAATGCAACATTTAGTGAAATTTTCATGTATCTACAGTTATTAGTTTTTGAATTACAACAAAATAAGGAAATCGCTACATGAGAAATCGAGTGAATATCCAATGTTGTAAAAATTTGAATTTCAAACGATCATAAAAATTTAATTTGACTTTCTTATAGACATTTATTTCTTGATAAAGGTAGATAATCTTATAAGGAATCTTGTATTACATTTTCAAATCTTAGACTTAAAAAGAAAAATTTTTACGAATTCTCAACTCAAAATAATTTGCTAATTTTCGTGATTTTTCCATATTTTGTCATATATTTTTTTACAAAGGTGACACTAATTAAGTGCATGTATCATTTAAGAAACAACAACAATGGCTTTCTTAGTGGTCACTTGAGCAGTGGCTTAAAGGAAGTCAAAACATCCTTGGTTATGTTGTTCAGAACAAAAATTAGGTTGTATTTTTTGTCAAGAGGTTGGTTGTTTGAAAACGTTTAAATACAAGGTGTAAAACTTTCAAAAGAATGGATTTCTTGTTTGATTGATAGTGGTAAATACTTAAATAAGAAAACACGGTTGGCCAGTCTTTAAAATAACATTGAGAGACATGCTGAATCCAGTGCTCATCTTTTTGCTTGCAGTATTAAGACAAAGAGTCTAAAACTTTAACTAAGAGCTTTGATAGTCAGCTAAGTAAAAATTAAGATTCAAATGAATATGTTTTCCGTACTGCATACTTTATAGCGAAGCATAATAGACCTTTTGACGAAAATCCAAAGCTTGTAGAATTGCAAAAATGTAATGGTGTGCAATTAGGTTCAATTTTGAATTCTAGGTACTCGTGTACTTCTAATTTCTATTATAAAAAATTGCATGCAAAATGAGAGAAGTTATTGTAAATAATATAATCAAATCTAGATCAAAGATTAGGTCCATAAGCCTGGCACCCCAAAGTCAAAAATTCGGGGCCAAACTTAACTAAAAAATTAGTAACCAATTCGTAACAATTTGTAACCACAAAATCAGAATTTTTAACCTAAGTCTTAACCCCAAAATTAATTTTTTTCTATATGGGGTGCAAAATTTGAAATTTCAACAAGAATTTAATTTAATTTAATTTAATTTTTGAACTTTAAATGCTTATAAATAACTGTGATTGGGGATTTTTAATATTTTTCATCTGCCTTTGAAAAAATATACTAGGAGCCTTCTAATTAATTTTCAAGCTTTCGAAACAAACCAAATAAAATTTTATTGATATTTTTAGAAAACACCACCTAAAAAAATTGGAAAATGAAAATGTGCCTAAACAGTTCAAAATAAATCAAAATATTTTGAAATGTTATCGTGTATAGAAAATGCAAATATAAACAATCAATGACAATTTCATGTATCTACGGTCATTTGTTTTAAAGTCACACCAAAAACCAAATTCAATTTTGTGAAAAATTTTGCAAAAGATTTTGCGTAAAAATTCCCGTTTTTCCTTAATTTTTTTTTTAATTTTCTTGGTGCTTTTGGAAATTACTGATAATTTTAAATTTTGACCTCCTCAATGCACCAACGATATTCACTTTCCAATCGAACAAGATATTGAAGTTGAAAATCGAAGTATTATTTCGACTACTTATCGTGTACACAGACACACAAAAAAATTTAAAAAAAAAAAAACACACATCATTGTAAAATCAATACATTGATCGTTTCACTCAGAATCTAAAAAATGTAGGTAAATAATATCTAATTATACCAAATACCAATGTAGCTTCACCAAATATTTTTTGAAATATAAATTATATTACATCATGTATGTACAACCCAAAATTTACTAATCAAAACATTTTTTTTTTTTTTTTATTGATCTGATAAGTCGGCAGTTAAGGCTATTAGTTTTTAAAAATTGTTATACAAAGTCTATAATAGTATAGGTAGGTAGTATATAACTATGACTTTATGTATTATTGTTTTTATACATATATAATATATATATTTATATATATATATATAGGTATATTATATTCGTATATAATATAATAATATGTAGGTAGATAAGTTTATTAGAAAAATATTATTTGTGTTAGATTTTTTAAACACGTATGAACATAAAAAAAACAATTTATTGTTCTACTGAACTGTGTTGTAATGTGTTACAATCAATAAAAACATTATTTTGTTTAAAAGTACTTTATATTAAACTGATTTACAAGTTTTTTAACCAAATTGAATCATGTATACTTGTTTTGGAATAAATAAATTACTTAATAAATAATTGTAAAATCAAGGTATAATAAGAAGTAAATGTTGTACTTGGGTAATATAAAAATCAATTAAGTCAATAAAATTATATGTATAATTATTTAATACAAAAAACTAATGACGTCAGTCGTCGACCACTTCAGTCTTCACAGCAAACAAAATATGACAAATCGCTATCAAGTATCAGATATTAATTTATTATCGTTTTACGGCTGGCTGACAATAGATATTAAAGAATGAATAGACCATGGCTATAATAACAATGTTAATAGAGGGAAGAGACGTGCCGGAATGGGGAAGAGAGTAAGACTAATTTCATGATTACCTCTCATTCTAGAAGAGGTCTTATCACAATATATAGATATATAATGTTATAATTTATATATATATAATACAACAATTTATTTGTGATAAGACTTGTATAATTTCATGTTCGTTAATTACTGTATGGTTCGTTCCCATATGATAAAATATGATAATCATGATTTTCTCATATTATCTATGTGTCTGACCTCTGACAGCCTTACGTCGTACAGTGTAACTTGTTCACCGTTCATGACCATTACTATTCACTCAGCAGCCGCTACTCGCTAGCCGTTCGTTTCGTATTTTTACTTGTCCAGACACCGATTACGCTTGGTAAGTACCATCGAACTTGTGAATTAAAAAATCCACTCGAGCCATTCTGTCATCTGGCTAGCTTTCCCTACAACGCGGCGTCAGTCTGGACATCACGACCTTTTTGTTCCGCCACAAGCGCATCCAGGGGTTATCGATTTCGATGCTCACCAGGACGACCAGACCTTTGGCATGACGTTCTGTTTTCGTCGGAACGCTGGTGGATGGTCTCCCTGCCCCTCCCACCTTTAGTGCTGATGTTTTGTTTGTTTGAATGCAGATTGTTTTGAATTAGTTTCAGTTGAACCATGGCTCGTACTAAGCAAACCGCTCGTAAATCTACCGGAGGAAAGGCTCCCCGTAAACAGTTGGCCACCAAAGCCGCCCGCAAAAGCGCACCCTCCACGGGTGGAGTGAAGAAACCTCATCGTTATCGTCCAGGTACTGTCGCTCTTCGTGAGATCCGTCGTTACCAAAAATCCACAGAGTTGCTGATTCGCAAGTTGCCGTTCCAACGATTGGTCAGAGAAATTGCCCAGGATTTCAAAACAGACTTGCGTTTTCAAAGTGCGGCTATCGGGGCTTTGCAGGTACCTATCATGGTTTTATAAGTTTGCTATAGTCTTAATAATCTGTGATGGTAATTCATTCAAAGGATTCTATTTTAGTTTAAACTTTATGATTACATGTAGTTTTCAATGAGTATCTTTGATGTACCATTTCACATTAATAATTAATTTACTAAGTGATATTACTGACATTTCACTAACTAAATATACCATACATTTTCTAATATCTAAATTGCATTTATTTCAGGAGGCCAGTGAAGCATACTTGGTTGGTTTGTTTGAAGACACTAACTTATGTGCTATCCACGCCAAACGTGTAACCATTATGCCTAAAGACATTCAGCTGGCCAGACGTATCCGTGGTGAAAGAGCCTAATTCATCCATTACAATTTACATTCCTCTTAAGTGTATTTTTTTTTCGTTTCACAATTTTTCTGGGTTGTAATTATACATATATTTATGTGTTTAAAAAACATAATAATAACTAGCTATTACTATTAATGTGTGTCTCATGTAATATTATATTCTAGGATACCTGCATTTATTTCATACATTTTAAATTATAGGCTAGTGTTCATTTAAGGAAACAATTGTCTTGAACAAGAGTAGCTGCATTTAATATTGTTTATCTTAATATTACATACCGTAAATGTCACATTTCAAGTCATTCAAAAATTAATATTTATTCTCACTTATCTAGTATAATAACTATAATTAACTAAAGCAATTAAATTAGTAAATTATATATAGTTTATAAAACGGACAATTTAAACAAAATTAAGGTTGTATGTTATAATAAATTGTTAATTACGTAATACATATTCTTAAATCTATAATACATCCACGTATTTTGGTTATTTTCTTTAATCTAGACTTTCATTAATTCGGACAACCTAACCCGATTAGTCCGGATCATTTAAGTGCTACTGTGTTTAATATAAAATAAAAAACATGATTACTTGAGATTGACAAATATTGTTTATTAACTCTACATAAATACTGCTTAAAAATCCGTATATTTTTACATTTAAAAAAAAATTTAAGGGTAAAATATGATTATAATTTATAAAGATAGATGATCAATATCAAACTTGTAGCAAATTTAAATGTTTACAAATTTCTTAAAACATAACTGGCTGCATTGATACCATGTCGTTATGTCAATACTGTATCAAATCCTGGCATTATAACCATATTGTTATATTTATATATTTCAGGATTTTAAAAACACTAGAACATGATTTTCTTTGGATATAAGCAATAGAACAATTTAATGATATGGCTAACTATGGAAATATGAAAATGTTTTATGTAACCATTGTTTGAATATCCGCACAAATTGATTATTTGCAATTCCCTCAGTCTCAATTAGTGCGGATAATCGACACTCCACTGTACTTTTACCATAAAAATCTGAAAATAACTGAAGATATATAAATAAATGCAGTAAGAATTTTAGACATTGAATCATAATGTATCTACCTAAATTAATTTCTCGGTTTCATTTATACTATGATTTACGTCAAACTAAATGACTTTACTGTAATTTTCTTATATTTCTATAAAATAAAGAAATGCTTCATATTAAATGGTTTTTTCTATGTAAGTAACTATTTTATAATTATAAAACCAAATAGTAACAAATATATATCATTATTAAAAAATTTTGAACAAAATGAAACCAAAGCTGTATACCAAACAATATAAAATAATTATACTAGCGTAAATAACTAAACTAAATTTACTCCAATGTTCGATGTTATGTTTAAATTAATAAAAATAACCAATACATAAAATACACCATAACATTTTAGAAATATTTTAACTCGTTTTTAGCTGTTTTACCGATAATTTCAAATTTAAATTTTTATGATGGATTGCTTAAATAGCATTTAAAAAATATTAAAAATACTTATGCACAATTTTTTGAATAAGAATTTAAAATTTAATAATTATTTTGCAGTTAAAATGATAAAATGTTCCACTTTTAAAGCTAAAAATATAAAATTTAAAACTAGGTTCTATGTAAATAGGTTATTCCTTAAAAACAAGATGTAAAAAATATAATACACAGTTTTTTTTTATAGTTATTTTATGTTCAAATTTGGAGGAAATGACATATGAAATAACCAAGAATAACGATATTAGTTATTTTGTTGTAATTTTATAATATCAATTCAATTTACAGGCTACCATTTTTAATAAGTACCTAAAAACAATATAAATGTAATATAAAATATTCACACTGAGGAACTGTCACCGCTCTGAATCGTTTTTCGTATACAATGATATTATATCATTGAATTCAAATTTAATACCATCCGTTATACAACTTGTAACCTACTGTAATTTAATGACACTCCAAAATTAAAATAAAACATAAGCAAAATTGCTGGCAAACATTGTTCATTATTTTCATTTTAACATAGTACAATCATCAAAATCAGTACTTATTATTATTTTAATTTGTTATTATATGTAATCGTAATTAATTACTTCACAGTTACTTTTCTTACAATATCATAAATTTGGATTCTTTATTAGGTGGCTAAAGTAATAATGGTAAATTTTTAAATGACATTCAATTGTTGTCTTAGGTATATATAAGGGATGATTAATAGGTATGTCTAGTTGCCGAACCTTGGCACTTCAGGGGTAAAATTACCTATCCGTGCCATATCAGGTGTTAGGTGTCCCGGAAATAAATCCCGTAAATAATTCCCGTTAAATATAAAATCCTAACCTAACCTAATCGTACAAAAATCCGATGAACAAAAATAATCAAACATTAGTGTATTAATATGGCGAAAAAAAAATTAAAAATGTAAAAATAAGAATAACTTCAATGAAAAACATTTAAAAAAAAACTGCGCTTGTAACGATATGGATGAATTGAACATTTTTTCAGAGTTATTCAACTGATAGAATATTAGGTTTGTATTGAAATAAAATTTAAAAAAATAAGTACACAAATCTATTATATTATTAAAAATATTTATTATTATTATATTTATTAACCAGGGTTTGGAACATTCATTCAAAAAATGAATGCATTCACATTTACATTCATAGAGCTTAAAATTAAATGCATTCACATTCAACATTCAATTTTTCAAAAAAATCCCCATTAACTATACTTTTAAGATAAATGTATCATAGTAACATTGTAAGAAATAACAATAACATATAAAATTAATAAAATGTAAAATGTAAAACAGTCTTTTGTTTTACAATAAATATTTATATAATAAAATTAAATAATGAAGCAAGTATAAAAAGTCTTTTCTTAAGTCCATGTTAATTATACTGTAAATATAAATGTATCATAGTAACATTAACATCAAACATGAATAAAATTGAAAAAATTAAATAAATAAAACAGTCTTGTTTTACAATAAATATTAAATAAGAAAGTATCTATAGAAACAATTGTCTTTAGTCCATGTTAACTATAAGTACTGTATAGATCATGTATCATTACTATCATTGAAACAATAGCATCAAACCCTGAGTATTAATAAGTAATAACTGTTGATTTGATGACAAGAGAATTTACCAAATTAAAAATTAAAAAAAAAAACACATTTCTACCCTTTAAAATTGTGTAAAATCATGGATCTGAGAATCACTGGAGGTGTAATAAATATAAATATAAAAAAAATTTATTATTTACTAATGTTTTTAGATTTCATAGTAAAATGTTCTACCAACACGGTGAAGTATACAACGCTTCAGTGATGGAATTATGTACCGTATGGTATTAAGAGGATGTCAGCGCACTATTTGTTTTCTCTCACTAGCCCACGCTCAATATAGTCAAAACGCATTTATGCAGAATCATTTTTTCTATGTTTTTAACTAATCTTAGAGTAAAATCACCCATTACAAAAAAGATACAGAATAATAATTTTTAGGTGTTATTTTGTGTTGAAAAAGTTTTTATGTTGATTGTACAAATGATTATTTCATATTTTTATTTATTAGTTGTGGAAGATTGTGGAGATATTGATGAACACAATAAAATTACTATTGCTATGGAAAAAATAAAGTCATTGGCTAGTTCACATCCAATTGATTCGTCTACATTTGACTTGGGTATGTAACACAAGTGTTGGTTTATCATTTCAAAAATTTACAAATAATACAGTGCTAATTGTTTTATAATATATTATTTCTTTTTCGGTTTGAAGAGTATGTACTATGTAACGACTATGTTAGAATATTTGAATTGTAACTTTTGTGGAGATTTGGAATCTGTATACACAACTATGTTAACTGTCGGTGCTCTTATTGAATCATTAGTGGCAATATATAAAAAGTAATTTATTTTACTTATTCATATTTGTATCAATTAAGTATAACCATTTAAAATCATAATATTTGTCTTGCAGGATTTATTCTACTAATGATCCACGGTGGAAAAAGACAAGTGAGCTACATGTATTGGAAGTTATCATGAGTTTAGCTCGGTATTATTTACAAAATGTTGATCTATGGCTATCAGGGATGAAAAGGTAGTAGCTAGTTAATAATTTTCATAGTTATTTTTATTCGGTATAAATTAAACATTTTCAGGAGATGGAAACTGTGAACTTATTAGATTTGATAGTAATTTGTCAAAACATGTTGTATCGCCGTTTTGCTCAGAGTACACTGATTGAAGGTGTCATCGCAATCAAAAGTGAACTTGATAACATCATTAAAAACTGATTTATCAACAAACCAGATTTTTAAATATTATTCATGTGCCAATTATTAATATATTATAACTACTATATTTATTTCAAAAGTTTTACCTCATTTTGTTATGATTTTTAAACTGATGGATTTAAACTTGGAGTCTATTACTATTACTTAATAGGTTCTAATTAATAAATAAATACTTATAATTAATATTAAATATTATAATAGAGGTAATTACTATTATTAATATTATAATATTTAAATTTTTTATTCGTTTCTATGGTGATAACTATTAATTAATTATCACTGATAAGCAAAGCGTTAGAAATTAAAATCCATTTTTAGCGTAATTTTTGGTGGTTTTTTCACGAGCGCTTCCCCGCAGTAAGGCATTTGGCTGGCTTATCAAATAATAACGTTAACATAGAATTAAAAAAAATATAAATATATGTAAAATTCAGAATTTTCTAATTTTGATACATAGAAATGTATTATTTGTAATAGTTTGTATCGTATAATTTTTAGTTTCTTTAAGCCCCGTTCACACGATCAAATAATTTGTCAAATATTTGATGTATGTCAAACTTCAAATATTTTAGAAATGGTTCTAAAATATTTGGAGTTTGACGAATGTCAAATATTTGACAAATTATTTGATCGTGTGAACAGGGCTTTAGACCAGCGCGCTGCAGCGGTTCTCAAACTTTTTAAATTTGCGTGCCACCAGCTACACCATTTCCCAGTTACAAAAATTTCCGGAAACTCACTGTTCTCACAAGTTATGGCATGTCAAAGTTGCAGCGATTACGCGTGTATCGGCACTCGTCGCTCCGCTCCGCAAATCGAAAATATCCCCCTATTTGCTTTGTCAACTACCTCAGGTAAACCTCGATTTTCCTCAATATTGTTTCTAAGTATATTTATTCCCAGCGTGGTCACTCGCTCGTCCATTCAAAAGTACCTATATTTTTTAATATTGACAACTTTGAATTGCCATAACTTTTGAAGTTTCCGGAAATTTTTTCAAATACTTGAATTAAGCGTAAAAAACCAATTTTATTATAATTATTATTTTTAGATATGATCAGAAAAAATTTAACTGTTGTTGCAGATTAACTCTATGATAACGTTATTATATTATGATAAGCCAGCCAAATGCCTTACTGCGGGGAAGCGCTCGTGTTTTTTCCTTGGCATTAAATAACTGTTGATAAAATCGAAAAATGACCTCTTCAAAGTACCATCTTGATCCAATTTTCTAAAAGATAAGGTACTCTATGTTGAAATCGAAGCACTCCTTCTGGTAGAAATTTTGTATACCGGATATAAAAAAAAAAAAATATATATATATACACCATTGTAAAATTACTAGCTTCCTCGCTCTGCTCAGAATCTAAAATAATTAATTTATATAAGTTCATATGTGAATCCGATTTCAATTTAATACCTTGGATAAATGGACATGGTAAGGACATATCGCACATTAATTAACAATTATTGCAGTCCCTAAAATATCCAAATTTTCGTACTACACACATGGTCCCAAATCGGTCAAATCTAAATTATTTCTAGATAAACATTAGTATAGGTACTATATACCACTGTTCACTACTAAGCTGATAATAATAAAAATAGCTACTCTCAATAACAATGAATAATAATAATTATAATAAGAGTTTAAGACTTAATAACACAACAATTTGTTTACTGTGTATCTGCGTTTATAATTAAAATGTGGTTTGGCAACCATTAAAATATAAAAAAAATGTGAAGATATAAAATTATACATAATATAATTATAAAGGTTTAATTAGAATAACACACTTTCAATTTTCGTACTACACACTGCACTTTTCGTACTACACAAAGTGCGTCGTAATACACACAATTTTAGGGACTGAATTATTATAATTAAAATGATTAATTAAAATTTTTTTTAACAGTTTATAGGTCTGACTGACTGTTCGGACTTCTTAGTAGATATACAGACAGGAATGTAGTGGGGCGTATAGGTACCCACTTCTCTGTTTTTCTGTGCGTATACTTAAAGAATGGGTAACACATGATTCCGCGGGTATACGCGAATTTATTGGGAAAAGGGTATGCATTTATTCTATAAACCAATTTGATAAATAATTTTTAATTAACAAATAAAAATGTCGAACAAACCTTATTGATTCTACGGTTTCCATAATCAAAATAGTTGGTTATATTAAAGGTATTCATACCTTTAATATAACATTATATTTTACACATATTATATTATTTAATATAATATGTGTTTTAGTATATACGACAGTACAACCACTGTAATTAGACATTAATATAATAACATCTATGGTATAGCGTGGGTAATGGGTATACCGTAGCCTTATACTCAGTATAAGGTCTATGGGGTATACTGACCATAGAGTTATTTATAAATTCTAATTTATATATAAACATTGCTGTAAACGTAATATATGTAACTGATAAGGTGTTACAGAAAACCACCAGAACATGGTCAGACCGTGACCAGTAATAATAATCACGTACATAGAGCATAATTTGATGATGTACCAAATGTAAATGAATCAATACAGATAAATTAGTAATTACTATCATAATTTTATTCTAAGTTTGAATTTTGATTTTTAAATATAAAGGCACTTGTACTGGTTACATTTTAAATTTTTTGGAAACAAAACAAAACTTCTTACATTATTATAAAATATGAAAGTGCTAATAAATTTGTTATTACTTATTCAAGATGATATTCAAGTTAATTACATATTTTAATACATAAGTTTAAAATGAAATAGACAGGTAATGATTTCTCATAAAATAAATTGTTATTACTTATTAACACGTATAAATTTATCAAAATCTTATACCTAACAATAAAAAGTGGGTGTCGCTCTGCTGTACAGTAGGTTACAAGTGGGTCACTGCATAATGGATGGTATTACATTTGAATTCAATGATATTATATCATTGTATAAGAAAAACGATTCTGAGAGGAGACGGTATGTCCTTCTAGGTATAACCCACATAGCAATTTGAAAATATTAATATTTTCACAACATTTGAATTAGGTTTTACTGCAAATATTTACTTTAGAATATTATACCGTTATTTCGAAAATATTTGATCTACAAATATTTAAATGCAAATATAGTCACAACATTTTCAAACTATTTCATATCAAATATTATATATCAATTATCCATCCTATATTTTGAAAATATTTGACATCCAAATATTTAAATGCAAATATAGTCACAACATTTTCAAACTATTTCACATCAAATATTATATATCCATTTTCCATCCTATATTTTGAAAATATTTGACCTCCAAATATTTGGATTCAAATATAGTCACAATATTTTCAAACTATTTCATATCAAATATTACATATCAATTTTCTATCCTGTGTTTTGAAAATATTGAAAAATTATATTTATACAATTTATTATCGTTATCGTATTATAATCACGATTAAAGATAGAATGGTTGCACAACGAACTATGATAAGAAACAATTTAATGATGCTCATAGTTTCTTTTATTATCAACGATACTCTAGAAACTTTTACTAGCGCTCATAGGGTATAAATTATGTACTACGCATCAGAAATCAAGATTCTTCTGTAATAATATGCACATTTATTTTCCCGTGAAAATGCAAAAAAAGTACATACACGATTAAAAATACGATATTTTCAACGATTTTTACATTCGTGATTACATGGTACATACTACCTATGTAATTTTAATTGTAAAGTTTGGTTTAAAGTCACATCCTAATAAAAATTTATTTCTCATTCTGAGAAGTTTAGAGTTAAGTTTTGTGAAACATGCTGGCTCTATTGATGTGTTTAATGAAACATTGTCATATTTTCTAAGTACTAATAATCCTTTGACATTTGAATGTTACGTGCACCAAACTGATATTCTCACAGATATATGTAGCACATTTGTTATAATGAGAATGAGACAGTATACATATTATATTAAAAAACTAAATAAAACTAAAAAAAAATTATCAAAACTCGTAGGTAGTTAACTTAAATTATAATTTACACTGAAAGGGAAGTATATATATTATACTTTATTTAATCATCAAAAATATATTATTAATATTGTTTAAATATAATTATTATTTATTAAAAAATAAAAATTATGTAATGTACCCAACAACACAATATTATAATTTATAAAATATAAATTTATTATTTGTTATTCCGTATTTTATTTTTTATAACGTAAATTCATGACACGATTAAAAATAGTATATTATCAATTATTATTCAATATTTAAACGCTAGGAGCGCTAATGCTCGGTTCTGCTAGTCGTTGTGATAACAAGGAAACTCTGAGAAACACTTTATTATAGGTCGTTGTGCAACCATACTATCTTTAATCGTGATTATAATTAAGTTTACTATAACTTAAATTATATAATTAGCCAATTATAAAATAGGTAGTTATGAATTAAAACTATAAAATAATATCAATAATAAATTATTTTAATATGTATAAGAAATTATCAATTTGAGCGATGTACATTCAATTTTAAAAACTGATTTTAATTGATTAACAATTTAACTGAGTTCGTATTATAGGAGCCCCACTGATTTCAATACCTACCTATAATAGATTTAAATTTTAAACCAATATTCAGATAAATCTGCTAAGAGTAGTAACTTTTGTATATAAGCACTTTATTGAATTTTATCATTATCAAAGGTGGGCAAGTTTATGAGAAGTAAATAATTGAAAAAAAAATATATTCAACACTAAAATGTTGAGTAAAGAATAAACGCTTAACTCAGTTACAAAGAAGTTACTTAATTAATTTTTAATATTACCACCTAGGCCAAATATATTATGTACCATAGCTGATAATGATCGCAGGGCAACTTCAAATTTTATTAAATTATGAGTTAACTAAAATATTTTGTTGGAAATGTTTATCATAATACATCAATAATGCTAATAATAATACAATTGATTTAAATAATTGTGTACAGTAAAATCAATTGAACAATTAAAAAAAAAAAAAAAAAACAATAATTAGTTTAACTAGTAAAATTATTAAGTTTGTTGGAAAGTAAAATGTTCAACAAATTATAATTTGTTATAAGTGTTCAACTTGTTAATGCTCACATTTTGTAAATAACAATACACTATTAGTATTTTACATGCATTAATAAATGATTATTCCTGTGGGTGGTGTAGAAATATTAAGTGTGAGTTAAAACCAGGTATTATTTATATGAGTGCCCGGTAAAAAATTAAATAATATAATATAATAAAAGCAATAAAAGTAATTGAAGTTATATTTGAACATCTGGTTTTGTACAATATTACTACCTTTATATACATTATTATTACATTATTATAGTGATAAATAGTATTTTAATTTTAATATTATCATGTAATTTGTAAAAAGTAAATAAAATAATATCAATTTTATTTTCATTTTTTTTTATACAGAAAATGATAAAATAGAAATATTGTGGACAATAAATTTAATAATTTAATATTGCAATTGGAGTTCCAGCTGATTAGGTATAGGTATATTATGTTGTTCTGTACAAAATAATACTGTAGTAGGTATTTTAATTTTAACATTATCATGTAAAAAGTAAATTAAATAATATCAATTTCATTTTTCTTGTACAGAAAATGATAAAATAGAAATTTTGAAAATTGTTTTTATTTTTAGTTATAATATATAGGTAACTTATATACTACTTATATATTTTCATTTAAAATTGTTACAGTACTAATATATTATATATATTATAATATAATACTATAATTATGTATACTAATTTATTATCAATAGCTGGTACTACAATGAATATGGCATTTTTGTATTCAATAAAAATGACATATGAGTTAAACTTCAAAATTTTCATTATAGACCTAAGAAAGCTAATCAAATATGATGTATTTTACTATTGCTTTTTATCTATTTTAGATAGGGACCAGCTTAAAACATTTAATCATAATAGTCTTAGAAAATAAATTTTTAAAACATTAAATTACTAGGTTCTCGCCTTGAAAACTTAATACCTAATTATGACTTATATACCCTTTTTCCCTGCCACCAAAGGTATAATAGTCTGTATTATAGCCACAAGCCACTTATAAGTACCATCATATAGGTACAATACACTATACTAACATTGCATTAATATATATACGTCTACATCAGCTAGATCCACAGAATAAACACAAGTACCTACCTATATGGTACATGATTAATCAGTATGATGTATCAGCTATATATTGATATTGATCGAATGATAATATTTGTGACAGTTGTTGTTTTTTTATAGATTATTATATCACAACAAAAACCCTTCATTGAACTCCGTGTAAAAAACGGCTAAGTAAAAAAAAAACCAGATCTTTAAGCACTATAATAAGATGTGATATAAATAAATGCTAAGTAAATTTAATTAAAGTACTCTTATTTTGTATCAATAATTTATTTACTTGACGAGAAATTATTTTGAGTAGAAATATCCATTTTAATAATGAAATCTGAATGCCTCTTGTTTATTTTTTTTTCACGTTATTTCATGTGCCGTGTCATATTAATTACCTATATAGGTATATCATTTCTCGCTAAGTAAATAAATTATTGATACAAAATAAGAGTAGGTCTGTAGGACGTAGGTACACTAATTAAATTTACTTAGCATTTATTTATACCTATCACATCTTTATAGTGCTTAAAAATCTGTTTTTTTTTTTTACTTAGCTCGCACCAAGACTGTGGCCCTAGATTATATTATTATTTGTTATGAACTCATAATAATAATATTATAACACAATATTAAAAAATATATAATGTAGGTGCTATATGTAGCAGCTAGGTGTATACTATTATATGTATATTGTATTAGGGTGGATAAGATAAAAACCTTAGATCAAAATATAATTATTTTTATTTTTATTTTTAAAACAACTAACGTAGTATTCGTAATAACGTCAAATCAAAGTTATTGTTATTACTTTTAAGTTGGAAAATTTGAATTCCTTGTTTTTAAAAACAATTAATGATCTTATATTCTTATCAGTTAAAGTTTTATGTTCATATTTATCACATCATTGGGAAAAATATGCGACTAGTCGTTTCCGCATGCGCATTGAAGGCTACATAACATGGAGACTTGTCGCTAAACATGTACATCAAAATATTGAGTTGTGGCTCAATCCATTGTATTGTAAATTATATTATTATATTGATCTATTATAATTAGCACAGTCTTAATCATAGACTGATATTACTCTATGGTCTAACCCCACAGACTTCTATACTACACTAGATAAGGAACTCTTATACAATGTACATTGTTACAAGTGAAGCTCAGCTGTGAACGGCCGCCATTTTCTCGGTTGGCAAAACATTTCATTTATTATACAAAATGTATTAGGAATAATATTTTTTTTAACGGTCAAATAAAATAGTAAATGTAAAATGACTTATATAAAATATTTTTTTTTTTTTGTAAACTTAATGTTTAAAAATAATAAAATACGATATAAAATAAATCATAATATCATCTTATTTGTCATATGAAATACCATACAATTGCCAACCGACCTTGAAGCTTCAATTCATGACCGGAGTTCGCTATCTAGTAATATATAGAAATCTGTGTCTAACCCAAGACCGTGATAAATGATAATTAGAAATTACATTATCTCACAGATATATACAGATATTGTATATATCTGTGCATTATCTTAATCCGAGGTTATTATAATAATACTCTTCGGCGGAAAAACCGTTATGAAACGTTTCGTATTTTCTCGTATCACTCTATAGTCTATACGTTGTTATCATATTATTTTGAAATGGAATTAATGTTGTTTAATAATAGACATCGATCGTAGTGATGTAGTGTATGGTGTTGTGTACTAGCCGCGTTATTATGTACCATGAATCAGTGCACTGGTCTAACTTAACCTTAAAATTTCATTATTCAATTCACAATTGTAGTATTGTACTATTTTGTAATGATCTAAAGCATGTGTCTGTAATTTATATTTTATTACACTACGTTACCTACGTGGCTACGTACTACAACAATTTCAAGTGACTTATTAGAATTCGTGTCTCGTGTTGTCGTATTCTGCACTTACAGCAAACAGGTATGTATTCGTTCAAATATACCTATAAATTATTAATCCACAACTGCTTTATACCTAAGTATACATACTTGTTAACTGATTTAGAATTGTTTAATACTATGAAATAAGAAAATCTTTTTTAGTTCATGGTAAATACGTACAATATAACATGTCGTCGAACAAATCACACGATATGTCATTATATTGACTACTTATTTTCCCAACATTTATTGTTAAATGCTTTCTATAATACATATTGTTTTATTTGTCAAGTAAATCTGCAGCATCAGTTGTAGGATACTGGCATCTGCCTTTATATAAATATTAGGTATATCCTTTGGTTTATAACAGAGAAATGAGTTCTCATGAACCATTTCATTAATTTAGTAACTAAGCATCGAACAGTTTTTTTGTTCAAGTAGATCCCTATTACCTAATGTATATAAATGTGATTATGATAGTATTTTTTTATTTAGCTAGGTAGATATACTTGATTTCTTTTAAATTAATTATCACGGTTTAATATAATTTACAATGTTACTTGTCTACAAGTTTTTAAATAGGTACCTAGGTAGTTTAAATAAAAATAAATATTAAATAAGTATTTATTATAAATAACTATTATTAATTACATAATAAAACCTTAATAGTTAGGTTGGGTTATTTCATTATATTAAGGAGGTAACTTAATATAAATATTAAAAATAAATATAATATTACATTTCTACTTAATTTTACCTACCTATGTTGTTATGGATATACAGCTGTATACTAATGTTCAAAAACTATGGAAATGGTCATTGAACTAATTGTCACTGATAATTATCTAGGACATTTATTGGGTTTTATATTGATTTTTTCATTTTAAAGCGAGTGGAGTGTTTTAAAGTTTTAATATTGTACTTTGTTATAACTAATTTTAATTTAAAATTAAAATATCAATAGGTCCATGAGATGCCTCAGATAATATTATAATCTTTATATATTTTGGTAATAGGTGACTTTATTCTAATATTAAAGCTGACAACACAAAATTGGTTTTACTGAATGCAAATTTAGATACTAATCTTGTACATTTTTAAGGTGGATACAACACGCTGTTTGTAGCATTCTCTTTTAGCATTTCCAAACTTTTTGAATACCTTGTGTATATTATATTAATACATATTATAGTGACAATTATAAGACAAGTGGTTCTTTACCTATGCATTAAATATTAATTACGAGATTAATTATTACATCTGTATGTGTTATTTAGGCTGTATGTTCATTATATACTATTACACTTACTAATAACAGTGAGTAAAGATATGCAAACATAAAATATATTGAACAATATATTATATTAATATAACATGAACAATATGAAAAAAGCATCCAGTTATTATAGAACCAAACGAAGAAAAATTCAAAATGAACTTGAATTATTAGGTAATTGGTCTAGTGATGATTTGGAAACAGAACCTGATACTGACTGTGTGATAAAACCATTTTCTACTGAAATACCTATTGCTCATGATGACCAAAACTTAAACTCTCTTTATCAAATTAATGTCGAAAATGCTGACAGTTCATTAAATACTTTCCATACACAATTACATTTTTTATCACCTGAGTTGTCATGTAATGTAATCAATAATATCCCGATAGATGTTAATAGCAACACACACATAAATAGTAAAAAAGAAAGTCTAGAAGAGAGTATTAAGCAATCCTTAGGTCAATGGGCAGTTAATTGTAATGTTCCTCAAAATACTTTTAACAAACTACTGACAATTTTGAAATTTGAAACACCTTTAACATTTTTACCAAAAGATTGCCGTACACTTTTGAAAAGTGGATCATCAAAAGTTTTAAATATTAGAGAAGTGAAACCAGGCAAATATTACCATTTTGGCCTTAAAAAAGGTATCATAAAGTATTCATTGGTCTTACCATTAAGCGATCACATTAAGATTGCTGTCGGAGTAGACGGATTGCCAATTAGCAAAAGTAGTTCGGGTCAATTATGGCCAATTTTAGCTTATATTATGCCTTACTGTAGCTATGTATTTCCTATAGGAATATATTACGGATATCAAAAACCTCAAGACAGTAATGATTTTCTTTATGATTTCATTTCTGAAGCCCTAGAATTAACCACTAATGGTATTACTATTAACAACAAGATAAAAAAGGTAACTCTTGAAGTTATGTGCTGTGATGTACCGGCAAAAAGCTTTTTATTACGTGTAAAAGGACACTCAGGATTTTTTTCATGTACTAGATGTACACATGAAGGTGAATATATTAACCACAGAGTTTGCTTTCCATATAATGCCATTGCTCATAAAAAAAGAAGTCATGATGATTATGTGTCAATGAATAATGAAGAGCACCATATTTCACCTATAATATCATCTATTGTGTTAATACCCAATATAAATGTAACAGACTTATTTTCGCTTGACTACATGCACTTAGCTTGTTTAGGAGTCATGAAAAAATTAATCAATCTTTGGCTGACAAATGGTCCGCCAAATGTACGTCTATCAAGTTTGAAAATCAAAAAATTATCTTCTTCTCTAAACAAAATTCACAACTGTATAACAAATGATTTTGTTCGCAAACCAAGAGGAATTGAGGAATATCCTAGATATAAGGCAACAGAACTTAGGCAGTTGCTCCTTTATACAGGGCCGGTGGTTTTAAAAGATATCTTATCTGATGAATGCTATCAAAATTTCATGACACTAAATATAGCAATGAGAATTCTCTTAAGTACTGATCATTCTAAATATGTAGGTTATGCCGCCAAACTCTTGGATTATTTTGTGAAAACATTCGAACAAATGTATGGCTCCCACTTTGTATCACATAATGTACGTAGCTTACTACATTTAGTAGATGATTATGTCAAATATGGACCTCTCGATAACTGTAGCTGTTTTCCATTCGAGAACTATATGAAAGTTTTGAAACAAATGATTCGAAAACATGATAAACCATTACAGCAAATAATTAAACGTTATGATGAAATCTATATTAATGACAAAATAAAATTTGGAAATCATGATCATAATACATTCACAGTTAAGAAACCAGATTGTTTTATACTAACAAGTGCAGGTGAAATAGTACAAATTATTGAAATATTATCGAATTCATCAGTTATTATTGGAAAATCATTTAATAGCAAAAGTGATATGTTTGAAAAACCAATAAAATCATCAAAACTAGATATATATGTTGTTAATAATTTATCTGAAAACTCTATGCAATGGCATATATCAGATATTAAAAAAAAAATTATGATTTTTAATATAGATGGTAAATTGTTGGCTCTGCCCATATTGAAATAAGTATTTATTTTTTTATATGTGTGTGTTAAATGTATTTATAATTGCTTAATTTTTTAAAACTTTAAATGTGTCTTGTAACCTAATTAGGTATAATGTTTTTTTTCTTACTTATTTATACATATTTATGTTTAAGATTTAAAATTAGTTATCTAGGTAAAATTATGTATCTCATCTCTCTTTAAGGTTTTAATGTGTATATATATATAATAATTGTTGTAATTTAAAGTTATGTATGGTACCATTAATATGTTAATGACAAAAAAGCATTGTACAAATATCTTTATTATTATATTTTTATATTTATGTAATACTTATGCTTGTAAAAAATGTTATTTTACTTTTATCTTAGAAATATGTGGAGTGTAGTATGTTTTACTGGGGACAACACAGTAGCAGCTGTTCCTAAGTTTTGGTATCGTGATGGCTATTGTGCGTGGCCAAATAAGTTTATCCGAAAAAATATTGAGCGCCGTGTAAATCCAAATGAATTGGAGTTTACACATTTTAAATCAAAGGTTCTACACACAGATATAGGTAATGATTTATATTTTCATTGTGTAATTATTGTTTTGTAAAATTAAGTTACTTTATAATAATATGTACTAGATATAGTATGTATAACTATTAACTAACCTTCAACTGTATGTTTTTTTTGTAGCTAATCTTTTAGAAGCTCGATCAGTAGCTCAAGATAATTCTGGGATATCATCCAATGAACATTTTGATGTAAACACAAACTTAAAAAGGATTCGTAAACCTAAATCAATTTATAAAAAAAATGAACCTGTCAAAATTCCAAGTCCTCCTGGCCATATTTCTGAAGGTAATAATATTATAAACATTAATTGTATTTATAAATAATTATTATTGTTATTTATATAATTATAATTGTATTGTGTATGGTAATAGGCTATTACTACAGTATACATATTACAAATAGTTTAAACTAATAAGTTGTCCAAGATTTATGAACATATTTATAGATTATATAATTTAGATCATATTTAGGCATTCATTTCGTTCAAAATTTTTTGATCATGACATAAAAGTTTTAAAAAAATGTTGTTCTCTACTCTACATAATATTATACACTATACATTCATTACTTTCTCTCAACCTATTTTACAGAATCTGAAGACTTTACATTATTTAATATTGATGATGATTCTGATAAAGATAAGTCATACACTATAGCAAGAAATGAATCCAGTCCAAGTTCTGATGAAGATAACTGTTTATTTAACAATAAAACATTAATATCAAAATTAAATGTTGAAATTCCGCAATTCAAACAAAGTAAGAAAACATCCACTGAAGAAACTTCTGAAATATCAGGAATTGCCAATAAAAAATTGAAAATATTTCATCATAACATTTCTACCAATTCAAGTCACCAATCATCAACACCTGAAGTACCAACAACTAAAATATCTACAAGCACATCATCAATAATATTATCCCCTTCTATCGAAATCGAGAGTGATAAAGGTAAAATTAATTTTAACGGTTTCACTGTGATATATAATAATACGCATAGATAATTTTCAAAAATCATTGTAAGTATTGTATGTGGTGTGTTTTATGATTTCTAAACAATAAATAAAATATTTTACAATATAAAAAACACCAGTTAAAAAAAAACTTTTAATTTTTAGATTCTAAAATAAAAGCAACTTTTTAAAAAAAATATTAAATCCTTATGCTAAAATGTTTATTTGGTTTATTTTTTTAAACTAAATTATATAATCTTGAACTAAAATTGTGATTCAGAAATTAGAAATTGAAGTTCAAGAAAAAAGAATATGATTATTTTATTTTTACTTTCATTGATGATCACTTATTAATAAATAATTAAGAAAAAACCATGAACATTTCCATTTTCTTTTCACCATTATTTTATCTACATAAGCATATTATTTTATGACTATGTGATCATTTATGTAAATATACTATACACTTAAATTTATGTTAATTGTTCTTTATAGCATTCAAAAAATTTGTAACCAGAAGCCTAACCAATATTAAGTATGAAATTGAGTCCATTCAAAAAAGACAAGATTCTTTCCGTGAACTATTAGAGACCTACTTTGAAAAATTCTCCAACCCATCTACCCATCACTCTACAATCTTTGATTCCGATGTATTTAATGAGATTATCTGTATTGAATATGATAATGAACTGGAAATAATGGAAGAAAAGCTGATGACGGATAAATCTTACAAAAATCAAGTTGTATGTACATTTATTTATTATAACTGAAATTTATTATTTGTATTATAATAACTGGCATTGAACCAATATTTCAGATTGTATCATTAAATCGACTAGTGGGAGATTCGTTATCGGAAACAATTAGAAAAATTATGCAGAAGTTATTTTCTGATAAGTTTCTTTCTAAATACTCATATATAGGATTTAAAGGAAAACATCAGTTTTCCACTCTGCAATGTTGTAGCTTAATATTTGGTAAGTCATTTTTAAAATCCATCTTTTGTACTTAATTATTAAACAAAGCTTTGACATTTTGTAATTCTGTTGACAGAATCCATAAATAAGATGAAAAAGTTTCGGGATATTCCATTAAAAGAAATAAAAAAGCCAATAGAACTTTGGTTAGCTCAAGCTCCGTCTCGTTTAAAAAAACAAGCTGCTAAAAATATGTGTTCCACTAGTGACAATTTATAAAATCAACTTTAATAAGAGTTACCTACCTACTTAGATTTCATTAATAACCATCTCCAAACATAAATTTAAAAGTATTTACTATTATTTTGTATTTTTTTTTTCGTTTATACTTATTAATTATTTTATTTATGTACAAGCATATTATATTTAATGTGGGACACAGTTTGTTAAAATTATTTTGATATTTGATTGTATTTATTTTAAATAAGGTTTAAGGCTAGGTTTCATTAATAACAAATCTCTAATATGGAGATTATTATTTTGTATTTTTTTTCTCAATACTTAATTATTTTATTTATGTATACATATTTTTAATGTAGGACACAGTTTATTAAAATTAAAAATATTATTTTGATATTTTATTGTTTTTATTTTAAATACATATATAGTGCTATAGGTTTCATTCATAACAAATCTCTAATATGGAGATTATTATTTTGTATTTTTTTTCTCAATACTTTATTATTTTATTTATGTATACATATTTTTAATGTGGGACACAGTTTATTAAAATTAAAAATTATTTTGATATTTTATTGTTTTTATTTTAAATACATAGTGCTATAGGTTTCATTCATAACAAATCTCTAATATTACATAGATACAAATAAGTATAATTACATAATTATGATATATAAATAAAAGACTTATTAGAAAAAATGTGTTTATAATTTATTTATTTATTATAATGATGCAGTATAATTTAGGTATCAATGAAAAGTACACAAGGCTTAACCATATATATATATAGTTATAACTATATAGTTATGTTTAGGTGAATAATGTTATCAAGATTTGTGTGGACAGTGCATATACAAATATTGAATATACAAATATTGAAATGATCGTTACAAAGTAAAGGTGAAATATTTTGACATTCATTTGTAAAGAGGATAATATTATGTACAATATTGTTATAATATAAAAATAGAAACATATTATAATATTGTAACAACATATTGGTGAAATATTTTGAAAATTTTTAAATGGAAGGATACTACAATATTGTTATGATAACATTGTAGTAATAGAAACATAATATATTGTAACAACATCTCGGTGAAATATTTTGACAATTTTTAAATAGAATAATAGTACAATATTGTTATGCTAATATTGTAGCAATAAAAACATATATATTGTGACAATATATGAGTAAAATATTCAAGCAATGTTTGATCTTCTGCCAAAAAGTGTACTAATAATATTGTGACAATAATTAAACATTTTCTGACAACCACGTATGAATGTTCTGATAATAACAACATTAGTCTAGAAATATTAATACAATATTATGTGAATATTATTTTGCCATCTGGGAAGACATATTATATACTTATCTATGGTATTAAAAAAAATTGACCTATAATGAATTCAAAATTAATCATATCACAATATCCATTAGGTACTTATAACGCTTTATACACCAACATCAAACCCTGATACTGTCATAGATATATATGTAGTAGTATACTTTAGAAGCTTCAAGTACCCACGAATAATATTATACAATCACAACAAAATAACTAAAATAGTTATTCTAGGTTTTTTATTATGTAATTTCGTCCCAATTTGAATTTAAAATGTCTGTAAGAAATAACTGTGTACATATATTTTTTAGATTTTTTGGTTACAGTATGAACTATTTATGGGAACCTTTGTTTTAAAATTGTAATCCTTAGCTATAAAAACTGAACATTTTATAATTTATTAATTACAATTATTGATAATTTTCGATTAATTTTGATAAATTTTGTCAAAATTCGATGTTTAAATGCTTATAAAAAAAAATTGTGCCTATGTATTTTTAATATTTTTCAATTGCTATTGTAACAATATATCATTAGCCTTGTATTAAATGTTTACACTTTTTGGCCCAACAGATAAAACTTTATTGATATTTATAGAAAAAAAACCAAAAAAAAATTGAAAGCTGTAAATGTCGGTAAACAGCTCAAAAAAAGTCAAAATATTTTCAAAATTGTATGGCGTATAGGAAATGCAACTTTTAGTGAAATTTTCATGTATCTACAATTATTAGTTTTTGAATTACAACAAAATAAGGAAATCGCTACATGAGAAATCGAGTGAATATCCAATGTTGTAAAAATTTGAATTTCAAACGATCATAAAAATTTAATTTGACTTTCTTATAGACATTTATTTCTTGATAAAGGTAGATAATCTTATAAGGAATCTTGTATTACATTTTCAAATCTTAGACTTAAAAAGAAAAATTTTTACGAATTCTCAACTCAAAATAATTTGCTAATTTTCGTGATTTTCCCATATTTTGTCATACATTTTTTTACAAAGGTGACACTAATTAAGTGCATGTATCATTTAAGAAACAACAACAATGGCTTTCTTAGTGGTCACTTGAGCAGTGGCTTAAAGGAAGTCAAAACATCCTTGGTTATGTTGTTCAGAACAAAAATTAGGTTGTATTTTTTGTCAAGAGGTTGGTTGTTTGAAAACGTTTAAATACAAGGTGTAAAACTTTCAAAAGAATGGATTTCTTGTTTGATTGATAGTGGTAAATACTTAAATAAGAAAACACGGTTGGCCAGTCTTTAAAATAACATTGAGAGACATGCTGAATCCAGTGCTCATCTTTTTGCTTGCAGGCAGTATTAAGAATGACAAAGAGTCTAAAACTTTAACTAAGAGCTTTGATAGTCAGCTAAGTAAAAATTAAGATTCAAATGAATATGTTTTCCGTACTGCATACTTTATAGCGAAGCATAATAGACCTTTTGACGAAAATCCAAAGCTTGTAGAATTGCAAAAATGTAATGGTGTGCAATTAGGTTCAATTTTGAATTCTAGGTACTCGTGTACTTCTAATTTCTATTATAAAAAATTGCATGCAAAATGAGAGAAGTTATTGTAAATAATATAATCAAATCCAGATCAAAGATTAGGTCCATCAGCCTGGCACCCCAAAGTCAAAAATTCGGGGCCAAACTTAACTAAAAAATTAGTAACCAATTCGTAACAATTTGTAACCACAAAATCAGAATTTGTAACCTAAGTCTTAACTCCAAAATTAATTTTTTTCTATATGGGGTGCAAAATTTGAAATTTCAACAAGAATTTACAATCGCAGAGTGGTTGATTCTTTTAAAACAAAACATGGAGATTTCATGTTAGAAGCTGTAAGTGCACAAAATACTATGATGTTTAAAAACTTAGTTTTATCAAGTAATAAAAAAGTAAGCAGTCTAAACCATGGTCAATTTTTGATAAGTCTATGTAACAACCTTCAATCACGTTTACTTGAAACAAATAAAGAGGAATCTTTTATTGTAAATGATATGCAAATTTTAAATGAAAGTACTTACATGGCCTTCTTCAGTTGAAAATATAAGATTTGGAGAAGATGAAATAAAGATATTCACAAAAAGATTTATATTAAATACAGATAATACAATTCAGGACTTTCGAAAATATATTAACAATAAGATTATCGTTGAAGAATTAAAAGAGTTGAACATTTTAATAAACACATTGCTGGTTTCCACTGCGGAATGCCAAAGGGGATTTAGAAAAATGAATTTGATTTGTTCAGATATTAGGCCAAGATTATCCGTTACAAACATTTCTAGTATAATGTTTATAAATATTATTGGACCACCAGTTGCAATATGGAATCCTACAAATTATGTAAGAAGTTGGCTGATCAAACATAGATCTACAAATGATAACACAAAATTGAATCAAGAAAAGGCTAGTCTGTGGAAAATTTTATAATTTATTTATTTGCTTATAATAAACAATAATTATCATATGTTTTTTAATTGTTATTTATTTATTATTTTATAAGCTAAGCATGTTAGGTGCCTAAAAAAATACCAAATTTAACAGCAGTTTTGGTAGAGATTTCAAAGAAAATGAGATATATTTTATTTTATATTTTTTATATTTTCCTATTGGGAAAACAAATTAACACTGGGAGCGCTGTCGACGCCTATCGTACTGATGGTTGGGCGGGGTTCCCCCCTACATGCAGTCGGGACTCGAGTCGGGTTTTCGCGGCATTTCGAATACATTTTGCTTTAAGTGAAGTGAATTTGAACGTATTTTATAATATTAGTTGAAATTATATTTACCAACATATACAGTTAGCTATAAAAGCGTATAAAGTTTCCATAGCAAAATTAATTTATTATAAAAAGTAAAATAACCAACATAAAACTATATCTATACATCCCGAATTGGAAGTTACAAATTGTTTCCACCAGAGCGCGTTTTGTTAATTTGTTTCCCCAATAATCCTGTTTCTTGTTTTTATTAATTAATATTTAATAATAGGTACGTATATAAATATAAAAACGTAGTATATAGGGGGTATGGGGGGCAAAGCCCCCCACGCTTATATTATATCAATCACATTTAAACGTTTACTCACTAAAAAAAGTTACGACTACATCACTGTATACAGAAATAATGTTCTGATTTAAATGCAAAAGTACAAATTTAAGTCTTAAAGTGTATTATACATAGACATAATAAGATATGGACTGCTACTCCACACACCCTGCCTTAAGTTTATTGAAATAAGATTGTTAGAAAGAGATAGTCAATACATGTGTAATGTAATGTGACCCGACTACTTGAAGGTGTATGCTAACTTTTTCTAAAAATGTTGTTGTCTTTGTTGTTGAACTATTCTCCCTCTCTCTTTTATTAATTGGTGTAAATGGTACCCAAGTTGTATGCTATCTCTTTCTAACAATGTTGGCCCCTAGATCTCTCTCTCTGTTATCAGTCCATTTCTTTATAGGTCTATGGTATTATACGTCAACGGCTTTACAGAATTAGGTACCTATATAAACCATCCGTCTTCCAAGCGTTCCTGGTGGACAATACACTGAACTAAATGTAGTCAAATTACGACTCACTTTTCGACGCCGACTGCCGAGTACTACTGACTACTGACTACACTGTAGCCTGTATGTATTATCTTCACTGCGTGATGAACACGTCATAACAATATATAAAATAACGATGTTCAACCTCAACCATACTATATCTATAGCCGTGCGACCGACTACGACGGTGATAATGGTGAAAACGAGGTGTCATCAGCTGTTTTCCGTAGGTACAGTCACTACTTACTATAATGGTAGTAGCTATAAGCTATAGATATTAGATAGTAGCTACAAGTTACTATGCTACTTCTGTTTGTGTTCAGTAACACTATACTTTTGTCAAAATTGTCTTCATCACTTGTTGCATGTTTTCGCACGAACGCCTTGAGCCTGTACCGTAGAGACTGCGAGTTTTTATTATATTTCGCGAAATGGAGAAAGTTGAGATTGCTACTAGGAAGTCGGAAAGCTTAGGTAGGTGTCTCCTAATAATTTGATCGTAATTAAATTATTTTCTTTCCAGCTTTTTTTTGTGTAAATGTATCTTAAATTATTGTTCATAATAATCAGTCAAATTAACTGTTATTATCTATATCAAGCATAATTTTTAACTTGGTTTCATAATACATTGTATAGAAATTCATAATTATTGTTAAAAATAATTAGGTATTTATTTGGTTAAAAAATATATCCTAGATTTCAGATGTCAGAACTATAATATAATAAATATAAGATGTTATTATATATTGTTATATTGTTTACTGCCAGTAATCTGTAGATAATAGAATATGTTTTATAATTCAACAATATTTAATTATGATAGATAGTTATATTAATCTTGAAGAGTGAGACATTTTTACTCTTGACTAATAATTTTTTTTAATTTTTTTTTTTTTTTTAGGCTCTTTATGGGATTTTATTCTTTTCGAATTTAAACTTGGCTATTCTCTAGAAAATGACGAAAAAGAATTTTCAGACAAGAGAGAAAAAGTTTACAATTTTATGAAAATACCCTTAGAAGTAGAACGATTCATGTTGTATGGAATTTGTCAGGTGTGTAAGCATCACTTAAATTTTACTATAGTTAAGCATAGTGCATAAAATTGAATATAACTTACCTTGCAAAGTACTCTACCTATATATTTAACTTTCATGTGTTGTAATTTTAGTGTGTAGATTCATTCCTATTTGTATACACATTCCTACCATTACGGGCATTAGTCGCATTAAAATCATTAATTTGTAGTTCTTTATCAAAATTAAAGTGAGTGTTTTAAAAACTGTTATAACTTATAATCAATTGAAATGTATTGTAAATTTCTTTTAGTGGCAATCATGAAAAAAATTACTTATCTGCTGCAGAAATTTGTGACTTGCTAAAGATGGCTGTACTTATAACATGTTTGATGATGTTATTACCGTGGGATACGTCAATGATATATCATATAATTAAACGCCAGTCGGTTATTAAGTTATATATACTTTTTAACATGTTAGAGGTAACTGTCAAATACTTACCTTTAAGTTTATTACATTTTATTTATAAATATGATATTTTATAATTTAAGGTCGGAGACAGGTTATTTTCATCATTTGGCCAAGACATTTTAGACGCTTTGTTTTGGACCGCTACTGAACCTAAGACTAGTCAGCGTTCACATTTTGGCGTTTTACCACATTTTATTATTGCTGTGTTTTATGTCTGTATGCTTTTAAAAAATATGGTAATCGTTCAGTATATGATCTAACCAGATCGCATGATCTACTCATATTTTAAATGGTAACCTACAAGGTACTAAAAACTTTTTACCCATAACCAATAGTTTTTTTTTCATAAGTACATTTTTGTATCACTAAAATTTATGACATGAATTAGTTTCATTATTTTGTTGTTCAAGTTTATATATTTATAAAAATCTAACACTGATTTTTCAAAGTTAATATTCCCATTTAATTCAACTACTAACATTTTGTTTATTTTATATATTGAACCAACGTCTAAACACTACTGATAATTGTCAATAATGAGAATAGTAATATTATTATCACAAACTATACAAGAATATACTTTTTAAAATTATTATTAAATAAAATCTGCTGCAGAAAAAGGCCATTGTGATTCTAGTTATATTACAAAGTATTGTATTAAATTTTAATATTTGTGTAGTCAGTTATTTGATTCATTTAATCATTTACATTAATTAAAAATACAATATGTGCATGAATATTATATTTTACAATTTTTTTTGAAGATTAACTTTTATACTATTTTCATATTATAGGCAGACATCTGATATAATATAATGATAGTTATGTGTAGGTAATATCTAGTAATCATAATATAATACAATTATAAAAATAAATAAGCACACAGAGCAGATATAACTATTATCATTATACGTAGGTTTTATCTTGGTACACCTTGGTATTACAGGTAGCCACATATTAAATTCGATTTTCATTTTTCACTTGGTAGGTCACATATTGAATGAATATCAAAAATACTTCAAGTATTTTAATACAATAATGTTAACACAATAAAAGTCCTTAAACCAATTTCAAATTCTCTTTGACATACAATATTAGTTTTACATAGCATACTTGTATTATGCCAAGCTACCATATTGAATATCGCCATTAATTCTAAGAAAGGGGCATTACTACCAATCATGATGTCCAATAACGTAATGTGTTATTCATATTTTAATGTGAGTGCAATATTATAACTGAAAATAGTTTTTTTTATTGATTCTAGTTTATAGAACTTAATGGGAGCGTGTTTAAAAAGTTTAATAAAACAACTTTGTTCCAATTATCGTGCAGTGATATCCGTGAACGATTCCATCTGTTCATATTATTACTGATAGTTGTAGTGCAAACAATGAAAGAATACCAATGGACTAGTGGTTAGTATTTATTTCACTGTGGCTAGAAGTAACTTAAATTTAAGAACAAAAATTCAAAGAAAATTTCATAGCCAATGTCTACAATTATCTTTCAATAAAATTTAAATTGGTTCTGTATGATAATCCAAATCAAATATTATTATTATATATTGTTTTTATTTTAACTTTTGTGTTTGTCTGTAAAATCATTTTAGATTTTATTATTTCTTTGATCATGTATCTATCTATTTTCTGTTGATTTTTAAAAATGTTCTATTTTATTGCATGGTTTCAGAATCATTTTGGAAGTTGATGCTTGACTGCGTGAATGTTATGATATTGGAAATTATAATTGATTGGACGAAACATGCATTTATCACTAGGTTCAATGAAATCAACTTGTCAGTGTACAGTGACTATTTATTGAGCTTTGCTTATGACACTGCACAGTCTTATAATAAAAAGGTAAAACGTTTGGGATTATTCATGGTGTGCAGAGTTGTTGAATTTATTTAAAAAAAAAACCTTTTGTCTTATAGGCATTTACTGATCACTCGGATTCGGTGGCAAGACGAATGGGATTTATCCCAATTCCCCTTGGAGTAGTTATAATTAAGGTTTTAACTAAGTGTGTGTCTATTGATGGGCAACTAGTTTCCATAGTTCTACTATTGTCTACATTAACATGTGTAGCCACATTGAAAATTGTTAATCTTGTCTATATAATAGGAAGAGCTTGCAAGATGATAAACCTCGACAAAACGGTATGTGAAAATAAAAATAAAAATAAATCTCAATTATTTATTTATTTTGATATTATAATCAATAGATTGATTTACGGGAGGCATACCTTAATACACAAATATTAGAAAACATAGAATCAGATTTGGCGCATAATGACACTGATTTAAACTTATCCATAGCTCTCGATGCTGGTACACAGTACTAATTCAGGTTTAACAATCATTTTAATATATAAATAAAAGTTTTTATTTTGATAGGTACTATAGTATTCTATGTTAGTTAATAAGGCAACAAAATCCAATGTCATTATTTTTAAATGAATATTAGCCTAACAGGCGATAACAGCAAATCCTGTGATTTGTATGTTATATTCATTGAGATAAATAAGAATACTGAAGCACATACATGACATCAAAAACGGTCAGCCAGTTAAAATATTCTTGTACTACAGTGGTGAGGATAGCATCAAATATCAATCATTGATTGTCATGACTTGAACTGTTTTTTAAATTGCCAATATAGAGGTACGCGCTCCAGTATTCTTATCCACCTCGATGATTATACTATAACATTATCATGGCATGATATCCATGGCAAATAACTATGTTTCCATGTTCATTTGTAAGGCTGTAGTTTCCATAATGTTATAATCAGTGGTGTAATGAACATTTTATCCATAAGGGAAAACATTAAAGCTACCCACACACACAATTAAAACCTGCCTATGTATATATTTTTTTTACAATAAGTGACTTATAACTTCCAATAACAAATACCCTACACATACAATATAATATTATCATCCCAGTTTGAGTTCCCCTATTACATACAACAATACAGCGTTTTGATGCTTTCTTACCTATGTGCTGACTCTTTGAGTAAATCTGTAAAATATTCCAATTGTATATTTCTAAATCACCATGTTACTTATTCAACAAATATTTTTACATCCTAACAAAATTACTCACCCACCTAAAATTTTTTAGGACAATTTCCCTGAAAAAAATATGATTGTGACACCACTGGTTATATTATACCTATTATGTAAGGGACAAGAGTAATACACTTTGAATATTATATTTTTTATCTTATTGTTTTACTATATTCTATATTATATTATTGTTGATTTTTTTTTGTCAAAAATTTAATTAACATGTTAAAAATTGGTAATAACATTATAGTTATTTACAGATTTGTAATTTAAAAAAATAAAACCAACTATTATTCTTTTTTTTTCTTTTTTTTTATGTACATTATAGAAAAACAGATTATCTATATGGATATATAATATTATGATAAAATCATTAACAACATGTTCAACTATATTAGAAATATATAGTATATTTTTTACAGTTGAATCAAATTGAAATCATGCAATACATTCTTTTTATACTAAAATAAAAAAAATAAAACTCAAGTTCAGTTATTATTATATGGGTTTGAATTTATTTTATACTGTTACTGTTATAACGGTAATGACCAATTACTATAAAAAAAAATATGCAGCAGGTCAATACTGCTATAGCAGTACTAAAATATTACTGCTATAGCAGTAAAAAAAAAGTGCATTTCTGAGGTAGATACATAAATTATATTAAAAAGTGAGGTGTCCGTGAACGTGTTAAGAAATATGTCTAGGTATAACGTAAACATATCTTTTTAAATTATAAATCTATTCAGACAAGGCCTGATTTATCATTATTGGCTTACTGCTGCTATTATACAGATTATGTTCAAGACACTTCAACTATATATGAATAGCTATCCATTTTCAATTTTCAATTCAAGTTTATTACACATTTTGACAATGTATTATTTAAAAACGTTCTTCTGATTAAATTTACAAGAACGAATAACTTAACAATGGTTAATAGGGCTATCATTCAAGAACTTTAAATTTTATAATGGTTTTTGATGAAATTTTCAAAAAATATAAACAGTTTTAACGTTTTTCTAGTAAAATAATCGGTGAACTATTTAAATTATAATGTTACATCTACAATCGTTTGTTGAACATAGCTTGATTTAACTTTTGTCGCAAATAATGTTCAAAAATAAATTATGGAACCGAACCAAAAATTAACATTCAAGGGTGACCTGACTAGAATGAGTGTCAATCAAACTGAATCAAATTTCTTTCTGTGGTTGTAGTCTTTTAGGTTTTGGTATAGTACTATTTTCTCCTTACCTCTCTATTTCCATGGAAGATTCTACATTTTTCTTATTAATATATGGCAGTATTTATATACAAAGTGTAACAGGAAGACCTGACAAATTAAATAACTATTTTTTAAAAATATTTAAAAATTTTTTTTTTTATATAATTTATTGACTCTTGCTCTGCCCATATTATAATATAACAATTTATTTTTATTTTTAATATTGAAAATAAGAAATTTTAAATTGGAACAACATTGAGAAAATAAACAATTGCGGTAATACTGCTATTACAGCCTTATTAGTTTTAAATAACAATATACCTATGCCTATCCATAATGTCACCTATGTAGATGTTTAAAAAAAAAAAAATTATTATTTCACTACCAAATTAAAAGCATAATATTTATTTATATATATATATAAATTATGTTTGTCTGTCTATCTGTCTGTGTATCCTTTATGCGTTCCTAAATGGCTGGACCGATTTTGATAACATTTCTGAGGAGAAGATATGCTAATTTAAAAAGGGAGAGGACCAGCCCAGGAGGCCTCAAACAGGGATTTTGAGATATCCTATGGACGTTTTTTTATTAATGGTCGCCAAGGGGTTTAAAGCTATTATAATAATAGTTATTGGTTGCCATTAGTTTAAAATTGTTGCTATAAGGTTGTAACAATATGACTTTTTATATTTTAACTGTCATATTATAAAATAAAACATATTAATCATATTTTGGTATTACTATTTTCTCCATCTTACATTTGTCTGTATACATCTGACATAATGTACACTTAAAAAATAATGTAAACTGATGGTCAGAATGCCAGATGTATACTGCAAATCATAATATTTACAAGTCTCAAGCCAGAAAAAAGGCAAGTAAAACCTTTTTGCATAATATGAACAGATACGAGAGTGATATAGTAAGTTAAAATATAAGATTGAGAATATAGTAAGTACTATACCAAAACTTAAAGGACCACTACCACAGAAGGATATCCCATGGCCATAGTTTAATTCATGGGATTGGTATGTACAACTTAATAAATTAAAGGGAACTACAACCCGTTTCAAAAGCTATTAATTTACAAGAAAAACAACTAAATGTGTCATCATAATTTTATAATATTACACATTAATTTTACAATGGGTACAACTAATTAAAATCTTATATCCTGAAACTGTAAATTTTATCACATTATTGTTAAACATAATAAAGAATAATATAGAATAGTATTCTTTATTATAGATGACAATAAGTCATTGTAATTTTTGAAATGATTAATTATGACAGGCTATTCCTAACACTAGTATACCTATTTTATTACATTTTATACTACTATGCAGTATAAGTCATATAATATTGTTGGGGCTAATGGATTAGGTCCACTACCCACCCTATCATAACTCTCCATAAAATACAAACTTAGGATTCAATAGATATATTTAAGAAATGTATATGTTAATTACATACAATTAAAAACATTAATACTAAATATATTTTTTTATTGGACATTAAATTTTGAATGTTTCAACAATTTGTTCACTAATCATATAGCTTATTGATTTATTCAAATAAATGCCGTATACATAACATATATTTGTGTAAATCAGTTCACTATTTAAAATGTAATATTGTTAAGTGTTAATATTTAATAAAAAAAATTACCAAGGTATAGAAAAAATAAAAAAATTCAATCAAAGTATAATAATTTATGATACAAAAATTAGAAATACATATTTTAAATTACTAAATTAATAATTTGTAAATAATGTTTATATTTATACCAAAAACTTTATGACTAAAAGTATTAAACATATTGAAAAGAGTGATGTAATTACCAAGTAAATTGCAAGGTTTTATTAATTGATATTTCTTAAAAAAAAAAAAATTAAAAAATATTTAATATACTTAAAACTAGTTATAAGAAACTAAAATACATTTTAAAGTTACATCAACTATTTGTTTCCTAAACCTATAGCTTATTAATTTAATCAAATATAACATGTATATTGTATTTTTGTAAATCAGTAATATTTAAAAAAATAGCAATTGGTTCATTTCAAATCAATAAATATAAAATATTACTATAAAGTTATATAATATTGTCGATTATTGTACTATTTTTTTAATAATTAATTGAACTCATAATATTATACTTTACTTTTCTTAATTAATTTTTAAACCTTCATAAAAATAATATAGTAAGTAATAATCATACAAATATTCAGTATGGATTAAAAATAATTACTAATTGTTGATAAAAAAAAAAAAAAAATCTTCAATAAAATGGAATCAAAGTTTATGTTATAAAAAACTAGTGATATTTTTCTTTAAAATAATTAATTAATTATTTTTAATTAATGTTTTTTTTTATTAATTTTATATAAAAGTATACTCTACATAACTAAAATGATTGAACATATTGAAAAATGTGATGTAATTGCCAAATAAATTATATTATTTAAGTTATGTAAGGTACCTATTGTACATTTTTTTTTTTTATTAATATTTATTAGCAAATAAAAATGTTTTATATACTTAAAACCATGGCTAAATATATATTTATATTTATTTTTTAATATATTTTATAAATCTCCATGCTTGAAACTAGCTATAAGAAACTAGAGAAGCCAATAATAAATAAATAATTTATGCAAAAGAGTAAAATATTTCCAGTGGGTTGTTTACTTTCCAAAACTTATCCTGTACATTTCGAAGAGTTATATTGCCTTTGAGAGGAACAAATTGATCTGCGGTGGGTGCAACAAACATTATAAAACTGAGAGCTCGTTCCGGAAGATCAGGGCCAAAGTCTATTGCCAATCTCATAGCTAAGTACTTATTCAAATGATCAACTAGAAAAAAAAAACATGGATATGTAATGATCGTTGTGAAAAACTTACTTGTGCTACTTTATTACACTTACAATTTTTTGGTTACATAATCCAATATTTAAAATA